TGTATATTTGTAACTTCAAATTCACAATATTATCAGTGCGCTCCCACTTGATCCACCAATTGCCGGATCAGATCCCCCAATTGGTGGATCAGATCTGGCAATTGGCGGATCACAGTCAGATGGGAACGCAAAAATGGGATCTGATCCGGCAATTATGCTTGTCAACATCCGTCCGTGCACAAGTGGTGTGAAACTTTTGCGGTGTGATAAACAAAGAAATTCATTTTTGGCGTGTAGAGTATAGTTCATGTGAAAAGTTTTTAACGTGCACAGCATGCACAGTAAACAACTGCTGAACTATGGGCTAGCAAAATGTGTCACCACGTTGCACATTTGTCCATTTCTTAACCTTTTTCATTTGTGTGATTTCACTTGCTCTCTATCAAAAACTAATTCTGTGTTAGCGTATAGCCCACAGTGTGTAACAGAGTATCGAAAACGGAAGCAAAGTTTGAAGAGACAACGTACATGTACTAGTCTGAACATTCGGTCCGATTCCAGGTTGTCACGTCAGTAGAATTCCACACCCAAAACACCGTAAGGGTCCCACACATGCAATGTGACTCGTCCCAGTACGCAACACTGCCACAGAGCACGCGCTCAGCAAGCTAGCACATTGTGCGCTTCGGGCTCGACATGTCCGTGCAAAAAGGTGGATCAGGCATAAGTTGGAACGCGACTTGCGGTTTAGTTGCAGTAAGACAACGATCACACCAAAATGCCAATTCAAGTGGGAACGCGTTGTACATGTATGTTTCACAGGGTTTTTTTAATAGACGAACTTCCTGAAGTTATTGCTGAGGTGAAAAGGGGTCACACTTTTCACTAACATACCAATGCGGCAGTCGGTGAACTAACGTACAGTACCAAAGAGTTCAACCTGGGTTGCATTCTCATCCATTCAGTCAAGTTGAGCCCTATAGACGTCTGTTCATGCATGTATAGTTTTTCTGAATGGTGCACTTTTCTGCTGTCAATTGACACCCCTTTGACAATTGCACAGGGCAGAAATAGATTTTACCGGGATGTTCTTCCTCATTCGGCAAGTATCAGATTGCCTCAGCCCCACATATTTGATTGGACTATGGAGATGCACAGAGCAGTACATTTGTATTGGTTTCATTTCACACATGAGAAACAATAATGAGAGATCTGAAGAAAATTGTTTACTGCCAGCGAGTGACCTTAAACTCACAAAGCTTGATTTGGAAAGTCTGAGGTTTACTCCCCCTGCTGAAAAACAGGAGTGTGTTCAATTGCACAATGCTTTGCGTGTGTACTGGGTTACATGTATGCATATCGTTAAGAATGAAGGTACATGTACGCTGGATATACATGTATGCCAATACCAGCGTACATGTAACATACTGTGCTGTTGAACATATACATGTACCTGTTCTTTGTCATGGTTAACTTGCATTCCAATCCAAAATCCATTCCAAAATATATTGTAAAAAAGTTGCCTTAGGTGTTCAAACTGGCACCTTTTTGTCGCTAAGCTAAAAACAAAAAACTATGGTGTAGGAGTTGATTTTTTAGTCTACCGGTAGATGTACGGTACCAGTACACATACCGGTACATGTACATTTACACAATATGTTGGCTTAACTTGGCTTTCTAAATGCCCCTTTGCTTTTTTAAAGGGCAGATGTTTATCAAACCTCCTTTTTGTTCCAAGATATTGATTGAACATGGTTTTTGTTGAGTGATGGTCTTATATTGTCATGTAATTTACATGTATTTTCAGAAGGAAACTGTTCAAGCCTAATGGTACATGTACATTCTGTTCGTTCTTCTTAGCTTGACTCACTAAACCAGTTTTGTCCTTGACTCCAATATCTGTGTACATATACCAACTGCATGCAGTGAAGCACAAACACTGTGTGAATACTAGGCTAAGTGTATTCAGTAGATGGGCCACACCCATATGTTTGTGTTCTCTGACCTATGTACGTGTACTGACCTTAGCCCTGGGTTGTTGAAAACTTTGCCCTGTGCCTGTGGATATACTGGTACCAGGTTTGCAGTTGTAGGACTGGCAATACCAATATAAGCTGTTCGTACATACATGTACCGTATGTGTAGGTTTATTAACCCTAATAATCCCTAACCAGTCGAACTTCAACACTAGTAAGGTGTTTGAATTTGTGGAATTAGGTACTAGGAACTTTTTAAATGGTGGTGGATTTTGACTAAATAGGTACTGTTGCTCTCTCACTTTTACCACCAAGACTTTCAAATGAGTACTGTATTTTTAAAGATTATGTAATAATAGAAAACTTCCCATTGAAATGGTAAGTACAGTGTATGGGTATGTAGTATGTAATACATGTATTATGTAATAATTCCCATAACAAGGACAATCTTCCTTGTTTCTGACCACAATGATCCCAGCAGTTGGGGATGGATGTGCAGCATGATGGTGTGTGAGTTTGTTTGAATACTGCCTGTCCATACTCTTTATATTGTGCAATGAGCCTGCAGTACCCAATCAAACAAGATCACACAGGTGAAGAGTTCTGTTGGAGTCTCTGTGATTGGGTACTGTAAAGTAGGAGTTTGATTTCAAGGTGTTGGAGTTTGTATGATTAGGGAGGGATAGCACCAGCAGCCCTTGGGCAGTTAGGGGTTAAGGATAAGTTGGAAATGTGCAGCCCCACCAAAGGTTAGGGTGCATGTGGAATTGGTCATAAGTGCTCATGTTACAGTGATTCTTGGAAAAATAGACATTTTTGTAGGGTTATTTTTAAACACCTGTGAGAAGTTTCATGGGGTTGCATGGAGTAAGCCTTACAAGTTACATCAGGGCTGTCAGAACTTGGCTTGAAATTTTCCTGAATTACATGTACTAAGTTGACTTTGCGGACCTTAAATACTGCTCCATGTCGAACACCTGTTTGCAGGGAAGGTCCATAAATTTTAGTTTTCATTTTCAGGGTGGTGAACATTCTTCAATCTATTTTTTAACAGGTGAAAGATCAAGGATTGCGGGGGCTCATGTCTTCAAAGAATGTTCCCCCGCTTTAACACAGTTGTCAGGTTTTTGTCAATTCAGGTGCAAAGCTTAGGAGCCAAAAATGCACCCACTCAGAATTCGGGCAAAGTAAAATACTACCATTTGAGGCAGATGTAACTGATGAAGCAGGGCCAGTGTGACTTATTCAGGCTTGATAGTGCACCCGGGAGAGGAAACATGAGTTGCCTGTAATAAACAAAAGGACGCTGTTGGCAAAAACTCATTGGTTTACGTGTTCCATTACCATTACGGACACACCCATTGCAACAGGATCAGGTGTCAAGAGCTGAGTGGCTTGGCTTGCCACAAATGTGTAGGGAGGAATAAATGCTGCAAAGAGGAAGCACACTTGAACATGGATGCATAATAAGCATTGTTTAACCCTAACTACCCAAAACCTGCCATATTCCAACAGCAGGTTTTGTGAGGTTTTGGCAGGTTTGGTACCGTACCTGAGGAACTTGTTGAATTTTGTGAGACTTGGGATGAAATGCTCAGGGAGATGGTGTCGGATTCTGTGTGAGTTGGGACACACATGGGTCACTGTGTATAGTGTCTGGCTTGCTGTTCCAGTTGTTGGACTATGCTTGATTTTGTCAGGTTTGGTACTGTTCAGTGGAAGTCATCCTATACTGCATAGACCCATCCATACCATATCACTCAAACTCCAATGAGCTCATTCTGTTAGAGTTTATCAGATTTGGTACAGTAACCTGCATGTACAAGTACATAGACAAGTACATGAACCTGTTAGATTTTGTGAAGTACAGTATGCTTTCTAGCGCAGGAGCCCAGGGGGTTAGGGTTAAATTAGCTTGTACATACATGTACATGTATGTGTTGACCACGGTAGTCTGAATTGATGTAAGACATTTTACATGTACATTAAATATTGTATTTGTAGCACTGTGTTTTTCGCCATCGTATAAAGCATACATAAATACAATGTACATGTGGTTCTGTCCATTCGGTAAAAATTGTGCCGTGCAAACGTTGCAACTTAACAGAAGGCATTATTGTCTCATTTGCAATCACACCTTTGTATCGGTACTTTAGACACAAACGCTTCCTGTGGATATCAGGCATTGTAGAAGTGCACATGTTGTATTTTAAGTGATTCATAATCTGTGGAGCAATACAGTGTATCATCTACCGGCAGCTTCCTGTCCACCTGTCCTGAGGACAGGCAAAGCAAAATTGGACACTACATGTACATGCAGTTTGAGCCTATTGAACAATTACAAACCCACGCATTTTATAGAAATCTTTAACATCTGAGAATCAATGGTACATCCTTCCAAAAAATCGGGTACAGTGAAAAGATGTCCAGAGGTATCATTTTCAAGCATTTTGCTGTGAGTGGATAGGCAGGTTTTAACTTTTGCTGGCAATGGACGGGCAGATTTCAAGCCTAGATTTTTTTCCAGTTTGTCGTAAAAGCACAAAGAAATTATTACATCAAATTGTGTATAGAACAGTCTGAAATTTGAATGCGGTTGCCAGCTCTTCCAAAGGCTGCCCACAGAGAATGCTGATGCACATGCAACGATGGGAGGGGGGGAATATTCATTGGTATTTAGCAATATCTTCTTACATGCACTCCTTAAAGTGCCTGAAAAGATAGAAAGTTCATGATCTGTCTTGTCCCACTGACAACTCGCAAGCACCTCAGCCATATTCACTGCTCAAATCTCATCTACATGTACATCAGACACCTCACAGAGGCTATTAGTCACAAGTGTGGTTTGTTGTGGGAGATGCTTAGTTTTACATGTACAGGTAAGCGAAGTTTTCACGTAGCATTCCTGATGAATGTTTTATGAATGATGAATAGTTGTTTTAGTACATTGTTTCTTCAAATGTTGAAAGGTCCCAACAAATCAAGTGGGACAGTGATAACTCTAAGCTTTCCAAGGAGGACTTCAGGAACTTGAGACTCAATTTTGAGATTTCTGACCTTATCGTTCTGTTTACTTAATTCCAGGTCAATGTCCGGGTGACGACGATGGATGCTGAGCTGGAGTTTGCCATCCAGCCCAACACCACCGGTAAACAGCTCTTCGATCAGGTAGGTATTGCTGCTGTGAGGGTCAGGGTCATAGGTCAGGAGTCATTTAAGGTCACATGTCTTTGGTTCAGAGGTCATCCAGCCTAATGCTACTTTTAAAACAGCTTTTTGATCAGGTAGGGGAGAGGTTGTGAGGGTCATACATGTTCATGTACATGTAAGTCAAGGGCTGCCTGGATCCAAGGTTTGGAATTGAGATGTTCGTCCTTGTGAAGAACCTTGTCTTGATTGCTCAGAGAATCAAATCATATGTGGGGCACTGGGAGCATTCTTGAGTTCCAAGACAGCAGCAGAAGCAAACTGCCTGTTACCTGACAGCGTGAGGGTGTAAAACTACTAGATCACCACCATGTTGTAGTGCTATCCTTTTAACTTGTTTTGGACATACATGTAATGAACGTATGGGCGTATGACTTGTTATGCTTCCTCTAACCATGTCCTGCGTACTCTGAACTGTGATGTGGACCACCCTGTATGATAAATAAAAATCATTAGGCAATCAGTCACCCCACCCAAAGAAAAAAATACTTAATGTAGTTTCAAATTAATACATGTACATCCTAGTAATTAAATATTGTTTGATTACAAATATTCTACCCCTTTAAAGAAAAATTACAGGATCGTTTGTCTAAAATTTGACTCCAAAGATATCAGCTCTGTGTTTCCTGTCCAGATTTGATTTAGGGCTGTGCCAAATATTCGATAGATTATCAAGTATTCAGGTATTATTTTTTGAATTGGAATATTTGAATGTGAAATTCATGGAAAGGGAGAGTTTTCTTTGATTTAAATGCAGAAAATTGCACTACGGAGGCTTGTTTCAAGCAGATTCAAATGAAAAGTGACAAATCTTACAACTATCCGAAAGTGATTACTTATTGAAAAATTTAAAAGGAATAGACATTTTCAATAGGACAAGAAGTATTTTTTATCTCTTAAACCTTACAAAATCGTGTCTGGAGATACTCATAGATGTAAGAAGCTATTATATTGATTGTAATGTATAATTGTGTGCGTTATTGTAACTGATATTGGTTTGTTCTGCCAGTCCATATGACTGAATATTCGGATATTTGTTTCAAATTGCAGGTTGAATATTCGAACAGGGAATTATTCGAATTGATTCAGCCCTAATTTTGATTCTCGAAAAAGTAATTAAGTATATGTTGTCCCACCTGGATGCCACTCAACTCATAGGTGTGAAGCATCGTAGTGTCCTTGTGACAGGCTGTTACGAAATCAGGCTCAGCCCCCTCCCCCCATCTCTGGAACTCTCCAGCTATTTGGAAGGTTTGATGTGCAATGACGACCTTTGTCTCCGTGCACAGTCCGAACATTTTTTTATTGTTGCCAATAATGAGCTCCCGTGATTTATATGCCAGGAAGTATGAAAAAGTCATGGAAGTTTGTTGTCGTTTGCGAGGCCAGGAAAAGTCTTGGAATTTTGTAAAAATGACTAAAGTCACAGAAAGGAATTTTTCAAACACTGTGCGATTTCTATTATCAGAAACAAGTGCATAAAATGCATCGTGACTTCATTTTATTAGCAACTTTAAAAGTAGTTATTAGTATTATTGATTTGTTAATTCGTGTGTAGTGGCCACAGGCCAAATTGTACATAATTTAAAATAAAATATATCAAGATGAACAAAAATAAGATATAACATTTGCCGTACTTAAAAACATTACATATTAGTCAAACAACTAAACTGGCACAAGAATCTAAAACAAGAAAAAAAGAGTCCTATCCCGAATAGTCCTAGAAATTACGTTCTTGGGTCATGGATTTTTATAATTTGGTCATGGAAAAGTCACATTTAAATGTTCCTTGCATGTGGGTTCAGGAACCCTGATACATGCGTACCGGCATACATGTAGGTTCTCTATTGCTTCATGTACATGTGGAAAAAATTTCCTTTGTTGAAGCAAATTACAGAATGTTTGTTCCCACTGACATTTTTAAATACTCAAGTGCAGTGGCATACCATAGGTGTATTTTTCAGAGAACTTTCCTTTTGAAACCACACAAGGAAATGTCACCACATATCTTGTGAATAATTGAACACCCCTGTAAAACAAAGCTAGTTTCTAATGTCTTTTTGGAGTACCGGTACTTCATGCTTGAGCAGAACAACTTCAACATCACCATTTAATTCGTCGAGGAAGTTCCATATGAAATTCATTGCAGCATAAAGCTGCATTTCCCTCACATCACAAATAATCAAGTCTGTCTGTTCATATTCTCTCTGTGTGAAGAACGCAGCACTTCAGTAGTTTAATTTCCGCATGTCAACATTGACAGTGGCCATTGTACGGTGAAGATACAGAGAGAATGCGTGGGAAATGGATCCACAGCTAAACCTCTGAACCGCGGAGGAAGAGGTCGCCCAGTATTGTGTGGTTCTTGTTTTTCTATTGGCCTAGTTTTCTGCCCGTTTTCCATGGAATCGTTGATAAGTCAACTTGTTGGGCCGATGAAACCTCAATTCAGTTTGGAGCAGGAAGTAGTAGTGGTTTTCCTTATTGCTCTTACACTGCTCACAGTAACGGATACAAATACATGTACAGGGGTGAGATATACATGTATGTCAAGATTTTTCCGATTTTCAGGAAATATTTGTCTGGAATTTTCGATTTCAGGATTTTTTAAAACAATCTCTTGTGAAATCAGGAAAATCCTGAGTTTACTATTAACTCTAGCTGCCCAGTATCCATCAAGCTTCATCAAGCAGGTTTTGCGACGTGGGTTTTGTCAGGTTTGGTACCATACCCGATGAACTTCTTGTCGAACTTTGTTGGACTTGCTATTAAAGGCCGGGGTGGTGATGTTGGATTTTGTGTGAGTTGGGAAACACAGGGTTTATTGTGTGCAGTGTCTGGCTTGCTGTACCAATTGTTGCACTATGCTTGATTTTGTCGGGTTGGTACTGTTCAGTGCAAGTCATCCTATACTGCATAGACCCATCCATACCATATCACTCAAACTCCAACGGGCTCATTCTGTTAGAGTTTATTCGGTTTGGTACAGTGACCTGAATGTACAAGTACATAGACAAGTACATGCATCTGAAGTTTGTTGGCTTCAGTATACTCTTTAGTGCAAGAACCAAGGGGGTTAGGGTTAAGGTCTTTTACCTCAAGAAGTTGACATACTAAACAAGAAATGGGTATCTTAATGGATACCCTTCAGGCAAACACGAATACGTGTACAGTATATCATATACCTGTTGGACCCTT